TTGTTAAAAAAAGTCAACGCACAAGGGTTAAAGTGGGATTTTGCACACTGCACCATTCCAGCTCAGGCGGGGCATACACAGCCCCGCCAAAGGGATCACTCACCGGATGCCCTCAGCACCATGACACATTTCAGGGCTTTCCAATTACACAATCACTTACACTTTTCACTTTCCTGGGAGTCATATTGAGGGCAATTTTACAGCAAAAAGCAACCACAAGAAAGATTCTTGGAAAAAAAAAGGGTGTGCGCAGAGCAAATAATGTTGACACTGCAAGAGAAAGCACACCTAACCATTCTATGTGGAACAGTGTCGTTTGTGGACTGAGGTAATATTTGTTCAAACGTTTTGTTCGTAAAACCAATTTCTTAGTGAATTTAAGGTGAGTGATGCTGTACAATTTCTGTACATTTTGGAATTGTTTGGGTTCAAGACATACCAAAACGGTCAATACAACGGAAGTCAGAACAAGGGTTTTTCGGTGTGGCTATCCCTTTTTTATGCTCCCTGAAAACAGTGCTTTGATTGCAGAGCTTTCATCATTACTTTTGTTGTGAATTACGAGTGTCATCTCACCTTGCTCTCGGCAACATTGTCACTTGGAGTGCGCAATTTGCTCTTTAAAACCCGCTGGTCTAAATGTACGTTGACTATATTTAGGTAAGCGTGGTGTTGTAGCTAACAAGTACATATTCATGTCAAGTGGTGTTTTGAGATTACAAACAAACATTAAGGCGTGACATACACTTCTTATAGCCACAGATTTAAAAAATAAACACATACAAGGGACATGTTACATACATCTAGTACCGGTATTTTGGTCCTCCTTGTGTGCTTTGCCATATCATATTGCCACAAAATGCCATTTGGACAACCATTCATTTTTGATGCCACTTGTAATCAGGAGGGTCACAGGTGAGAGCAAAATTAACCTGCATGTTTTTGGAATCTGGAGGAAGCCGGAGTACCTGGAAAAAAGCCACGCAAGCACCTGTGTAACATGCAAAAAGTTAAGCGTCTCACAGAATGGATGGATGGATGGATGGGTGGATGGATGTTGGTTACTTCTACCTCTTTTTTTTACATTCACATATATATTTACATTTTTTTACTTATGATTTATATTGATCTGCTAATCAAGATGACCTTTTCACGGGATGTCGTTATTATGTTATTTGTCAACTATCGCATGATAAGATTTTGAGACGCTTTTGTGATTCAGAGCTATATAAAGAAATGTGACTTGACTTCAGATTGATACTGATTCTGTGTTTCAGTCAAGTTTATACCGTAGCAGAACCTCACCAAAGCCACAAATGGAAATGGAATTCATGGACAATACTGACCCCCAGTGGAAAGTAACACAAGCAGTGACACACACTCAGAAATATCTGTGCCGACTGTTTAATTGGTTGTGTTTTAATTTATTTTTTGTTGTTGTTGGGGTTGTTGATTTTCAACGGACACCATTCCTTTTTTTGCTTTATGACAATAAAATATGTATACATCATGTAATAAATAAATAATAAAATAAATTGTGTTGGGTTTTTACAAGCTTTTACCTTCAGCAGCACTAAGATTTTGGCCAGCTACAGATACATGAAAAAGTAGTTCACACTGCATTGGGTAGCTTTGAATGATTTTTCTCTTCTTAATAAATAAAAGAACCATTTAAGAACTGGATCTTCTGTTCACTGGAATTATATTTGTCAAATATTTACATTTATTTGAGTAACTTAAAATAAATACTATCAAAGAGAGGAAATGGTAAAAAAAAAAAAAAAAGAGTTACAGCATATACTGCGAACCTCGATAAGTGTTTTTGATAATGGATGGATGGATATATGTGTGTGCGTGCATGCATGTGTGTATGTTTGTATACACATAGAGTACAGAGTGTACACTGGACATTAAAGTGGCTCCACTTACCATGCAACGTGATCCATGGGATTTTGAAAGAATGAATCCGTTTTTAATTGGTACTATTTGTCCGTATATATATTTTAAACTGCTTCTGTGTTTGAACCTTATTTTAACCCACCATTGTGGCCCATGAGGGTGTACTTAACGTTTGTTGCTATTTATACTGTACATAACGTGACCAGGGTAAACGTGCTATAAATAGTTGGTGTTGGGTGTCTGGTGATATCAGAGGACTGTGAGGAGATCATTCCCAAAACTTTATGCATCTATATATGCACACACCTGTGAACATAGCGGTACATCATTCTTGAATTCTAACATGTTCCCTTGGCCTTGTGAAAATCTGGAATTCCATTTTCTGTTGTTTTACATTGTCATTAAACCCCTCTCTGCAAAAAGGGGTCAGACCCACAGAGAGTATCCCTGCAACAGTGTCTTGCATTAAATGGGTTCACTGTCCTTTTTTGCTCCAGATCTACTAGCTCCTCTTATTTTCTCCATGCAGAAAACAAAAAAATCGGTCACCTTCATCAGATACACAAAGGCAGACATCTACTATTCACTCAATACCATTGAGTGGTTCATCACACCCCAAAAATACAAACAAGGGGATAGAGGCTAATATATCGCACATATAGAGAAAAAAACGTGTCTCTTCTATTTTGGGTTATGCTATTTAGTTTACTGTTGTTGTTATTTTAAGCTTAAAATAAAACACATTTGACTAACATCGATCACCCTGCCACAGGAAAACAACAGAACCAAGAGCTGTTATGCTTAACAATACCGAAGAGCGAGAGAGAGAGAGAGAGAGAGAGAGAGAGAGAGAGAGAGAGAGAGAGAGAGAGAGAGAGAGAGCGAGCTTTCTCTTGTATGTGCATGCAGCTTAACTCAAAATTAGGTTTTCCAAATGGTTAAAAAAAATGTCAAAATAAATAAATAATTTCATACATTGGTTTAGTTGTGAGTAGTATTTTTGTAATCATGTGGACTTGCATTTTTACTCAACATTAATGTTGAGTGTGACACAACCACCTCCTCAAAGGAGACATTATGTCACAGGAGAGGTTTTGCTATGGCGGTGTGCACACAGAAGTCAGGTGGACCCAAGCACAGGGAAGCAGACAAAAAGGCAGTAGGGCAGAGGAATGTCAAAAGGTATTTTCGAGGGTCGTGGGTGTGCTGGAGCCAATCCCAGATGACTTCGGGCGAGAGGCGATGTACAACCTATCCTGCTCGCCAGCCCATGGAAGGGCACAGAAACAACCATTCACACTTACGGACAATTTAGAGTATCCAGCTGACCTATTGGCTGGCAACCGGTTCAAGGTGTACCCCACCTACTGCCCAAAGAGAGCTGGGATAGGCTCCAGCACGCCCGTGACCCTTGTGGGGGTAAGCAGATTAGAAAATGGATGGATGGATGGAAAAATGGATTGGTGCATGGATGGATGAATTGATGGGTGCATGGATGGATAAATTGATGGGTGGATGGATGGATACAGGCAGCGTGAGCTAGCGGTGGCCAGCACTACAAACATACCTGATGGCTCTATAGCACCCCCTTACCCCGGTGTAAGTACAGCTTTGAAGGTGAGCCTCCTAATGTGATTGTATATTGTGTAAATGCCCACAGCTTTCAAAGTGTATTCACTGCTTTCTGCAGTAGTGATATTTGATTGACAGTTAACAGCTCAATGGGGCATGGTTTCAGCACATTCAACATTTCAGAGCAAAGAACGCGGATTGATTTTTCAAGATTTTGAAGCCATATTGAAACACTTGGCGATGGTTTTTCAATAACTGAAATTTGGCAGGATTGTTCACAACACGAAGTTCTGTGGTGTTAAATTTGCAAGACATTTTTTCTTTTTTTTTTTTACTTGGATGAGTCTTTGTGGAATGTGTACACTGACACAGTGCAGTGAAGGTCGAAATTCAGTTGAAGAAAATGTGGCCAATACAGTTATGACTCCTATGTTATTTTCGATTAATTTGCATTTTTGCAGATGCTCGCTTTATTCCATTATACCATACAGTATTCCCATGTGTTTCCAAATTTGAAAAGAAAAGTGATTGTCATTTAGTTGCATCATAATGCATTAATTATAACCACTTTGCTTGGACTATGACTTGGAAATATTTTACAATAAATAAGGTGAAAGGTATTTCATTCAAAATTATTCATCAATGTTACCCTGTGGGCTCCTTTTCTTGTTAAATTTAATTGATATATGGATGTAAAGTGTGCCTTCTCTGGTTTCAAATCTAAATAAGAGCTGTTTACCTGCCGGTTGAGTAGAAGCGCCTTTGGCTAAAGTCAAATTATGGCAGGCTTTTTACTTTCTGGACCTGGTTTTGACACCTCTGCATTCCGAGACTATTGTACATCTGTTTTGGATGTGTACTCATCTTCTAAATTGTGGGAATACATTTGCAGATTTATCTTGGCCGGCTGGGTACACCCTGAGTTGGTTGCCAGCCAATCACAAGGCACACGTAAACAGACATTGCATTTGTATATTGTTGAGAGATTATGACTAATTCATTCATTTTCCGAACCGCTTTATCCTCACTAGGGTCACGGGCTGTCTCCAGGCAGTAGGCGGGGGACACCCTGAACCGGTTGCCATCCAATCGCAGGGCACACAGAAACAAACAACCAGTTGCACTCACACTCACACCTAGGGACAATTTGGAGTGTTCAATCAGCCTGCCATGCATGTTTTTCGAATGTGGGAGGAAACCGGAGGACCTGGAGAAAACCCACGCAAGCACGGGGAAAACATGCAAACTCCACACAGGGAGGCCGGAGCTGGAATTGAAACCGGTATCTCTGCACTGCGAGTCGACGTGCGAGCCACTCTAATTGTGCCGCCTAACTAATTAATTGTAAAACAAAAAAACCAAACCAAAAAAAATTTAGCAGAGTAAACTGGATAAATAAATACTTTTATTGAGCCCAAATATATTTGCCGTTTTTTCATGCTGCCAATGGAAAGGCTTTGTCACATCTGCCCAACCTGGTGTAGTATAATAATATCCTTTTTATTGTTTTCCCATTTAACCAATTTCCGGTTTTGCCGTTGTCAAATTCCGCTGTTTTGACACCGACAGGTGTCGACTCTGAGTGTATCTGCCTTGCTGTGTGTGATTCTCGCTTGTCTCGCTCTGCGGGACACTTGGCGTTGGCGTATGCGTCGATAGTCGATATCATCACTTTTGATAAGATGGAGCCTCCGGACTTCAAAGCTACGAACTTGACCGTGGAGCCCGAACAGCGCGCATACCCGTTATGTGACAAATGGAGAGACGGCTCCGAGAGTTCGGTGTTCCAGCTCGCCAACATCTTCCTTCTCCTCGGCTTCATGGGTGGCAGCGATGTTTTCGGACGCTTCTACATGTTCACCTTCTTGACTCTGGGCTTCTTCTGCGCCACTCTCTGGGCTTGGACGGACTCGTGCACCATCGACGCGTTCCTGTGGTGTTTGGCGCTGTTCGCTGTGTGCCTGGGCAAGTTTCTCCGTGCTGCCGGCAGAATCAGGAGCGTCTCATTCCAAAGGGACTTCCAGGAGCTTTATATGTGCATGTTTAAGAAGATCGGAGTTTCACGCTCACAATTTGGGAAAATCGTTTCCTGCTGTGACAGAAATATCCACACCATAGAGAAGGATCACTTCTTCGCCATAGAAGGAAAGACATCCATCGATAAATTATCCTTGCTCATGTCCGGCAGGTGATACATGAAACTTTTGATGTCATGAATCTGCACTTTTGAAAACTACTCGTTGATGAGCAATTTATTTTCTTGAGAATGCAACCAGACCATACTTGGGATTATGATCATGTCATGGATAAAATTGGGTTGATGTGAATTCATAAAAAGGGTGAAACATTTACTTTATTGACTGTATTAATTTAACGTTCATTTATACAGGTAAGACAATAGAGAACAGATTCTCTTTTCTACTGTTCATCTGGCAGCAGACAGCCGAGTAAGACAAAGACAAATCAATGAAAAGAAATATAGACAACAAACTGTACAAGTACAGTATTACATCAAATCACATAATGAATAAAAGGTTCAAAACACGCTTAAAACAACCTTAACTGTATGCAATTCAAAATGATGACAGAGCAGAAGCACCTGCCGAATAATTCAACTGTATGTGACGGAAGAAAATAGACTAAACCTCTGAGTCTAAAACCAATGTTGTAATTAAAGCAATACGATGGGCGCTGTTACAATTTACAATTAACTAAACCAATTTTTTTTTCTGTCATGAATGCAGTATTGTGACATCTGACTTTTTTTATTGTTGTTTCATGCGTCAGTGGTACACCCTGCCCGCGTCGGCTAATAAAACATCAAACAATCAAAATGGCCGGGACCAAAATTAACAACATCAGCAGCAACAAAAATCTTCGTATCTTGTCTTCTTTTCCAAGCTTTAGATCTGAAATTCATCATTGCAAAAACATAAACATCGAAAAGCCATTTAATCTTCCTCATCATGTTCAATGTCATTAAACATCTCTTGACTTAAATCATCATAAACTGCACACTACAAGAGAAAATGAAATTCACTTTTCACGTCATTCAAGTCACACATTTCACATAATCTGTTTTCGGGGATATTAATAAATTAACCGGTTTCAATGGCCAGAGGGAGAACACCAGATCTCAACTGAGCCATCAAAGAGCTTTGATTTCTACCAAGTAGATACTGGTAGATATAAAACAGAGATAAAACCTTTTCTCAGGAGTAAACCTTTCCCTGATCTCCCTGAGCACAACGCTTTCAATTTGGGTTTTAACAAAATAGTTTGAAACCAGGTGTCTTCAATCTTAAAAAGCTTGTTTTTAACACAATTAATATTACAATCCCATATTCTAAGATTTATAGGTTTTCAAGTGAGTTTTCCCTATTGTCTCCCCTCCAAATGTGTTTCCATTTTCCTCCCCCCTCCTATGACTTGTTTTGGGATTATGTTGCCTGATTATGCCACTCCTGGTATTTAAAGATCATGTGTGTCCTCAGTCCAGTTCCAAAAAATTTAACATTCGATTCCAGCTCCGGCCTTCCTGTATGGAGTTTGCATGTTCTCCCCGTGCCAGCATGGGTTTTCTCCGGGTACTCTGGTTTCCTCCCACATTCCAAAAACATGCATGGCAGGATGATTGGGCACTCAAAATTGTCCCTTGGTGTGATTGTGAGCGCAAATGGTTGTTTGTCTTACGTGTGCACTGTGATTGATTGGCAACCAGTTTCGGGTGTAAGTCAGCTGGGATTGGCTCCAGCACCCCCGCGACCCTTGTAAGGATCAGCGGATTAGAAGATGGATGTATGAAAATAACAACTGTAGCATTCCGATTTCATCTCTGAAAACATTCGGTCAACATATAAAAAGTGCCTTCTCGAGTTCTGGATGTGCCGCGCCCCGAAGTTGTTTACAATAATCTTTCAATCTGTTGGCCTCGAACTCTGCCATGATTTTGTTGCCATTACGGGTGATTCTCGAAATCGTTGACTTTGCCAATTCGTAGTCTCGACTGAGCTTCGTCTTGGAGACTCCCTTTCGTGAGTGAGACAATCTCAGCCTTCAAGAAGAGCAAGATTTGCTTCCTAGTCAATTCCCTTTGACAATTGCTTTGCAATTGACTGCTGATCAATCTAGACTGCGGGTCAGTCTCACCATACTTCTGGGATTGACTTTTGTATTGAGAAATATCAAATAGGCCACAAAAAGGGCTGTAATTACATTTGTTTGAAAAGTGGCAGAAATGTTGTCGAAAAATATCCATTTATCCGAAGTCTTTGTGTTGTCCTACAGAATCCGAGTGACTGTTAATGGCGAGTTTCTGCACTACATCTACCCATTCCAGTTTCTGGATTCACCAGAATGGGACTCTCTCAGACCATCAGAAGAGGGTGTATTCCAGGTCACCTCCCATTCACGTACACATGCAAAATCATATAAGTTGCGGTTAAGTCGTAATGTCATCACTGCCACTTTGTATTCGGGGTCAGAAATTTGACTGGTGCCAACCTTTCACGTTGCAATCACATTGCAATCAGTCACCATGTATTTCTCTATCTTTAGGTCACCCTATCAGCTGATAACCCGTGTACATATGTGTCATGGAGGAGGAAGAAGCTCTATCTTCTTTTTGCTAAACACCGCTACATAGCCAGGATCTTTGCTCTGGTTGTTCGGAATGACATTGCAGAGAAGCTGTACTCACTGAACGACAGCGCATTCAACTGCTCCGGACATCGCTATGATCTGCGCTTACCAAGTTACTGTCACATGCCAGGGACCGAATTAGAAGTCCCAATGAAAGTTCCAGTGCAGGTTGAAATGTCTGCTTGACCACACAAACCCTCATGCAGGCCAGACAGTTTCCTCATTGAGAATAGGAAGAGGTAATTGTCTGCTTCAACCATCTTGTTTTCATCCATTATCTTAATTTTAAATAAATAACTCTGAATGTAGAGTAGGCAACATAATGTCTCACATAATGGGATCAAAATGGGATTTATCACTTCAGTGCTAATGCTAGCAGTCTTGGAGATCTAGGTTCGCTCATTTTTTCAAGCGAGTGTACCATCGCATTTTTTTTTTTGAGCTGTGGTTTTAAGGTGAATATTTGTTTTTTTGATGAGAAGTCTCGACATGACCACAGTTATTCATTACGCGGCAGTATTTACCTGAAAGAAGTCTTTGAACAGCATGAGTGTTTTTGTTCATGAATTTTTGGGTTCATCAATACAAATCAGATACTTACAAACAGAAGAAACTTTGTGCACTTCTCATCATTTTTGTACTTGCCGGTAATGGTAACCTTTGCCAATAATTACCTTTGTTTATGTGTTGTTTTAACATTATGTGAAAACAACACCACCAAAACATAGAAACCGATCCATACTGTGAGTGAGCTTACTTGACTGCTTTTGTTCATTCTATTTCAATGTGATAAACTAATGATTATTTTGAGTATGTGCTCGATGGTTGTTTTTAACATTGAAAAGAAAAGCTTACAAAGTGATGTCAGATGTGCTTCAAGTCCTTTGGTTAGATTTGGTAAAAATGTCCAAAGCCCATGTTATATGAGCCTGTTACAATATGGTGAGAGAACTATGCGAAATCAATACAAAGTGCACCAAATTTAATGCATAATTTAATGTAATTGTACCGTGTTCATTATGATACCCATGTTTTTTTATTGTTGTTTTTTTTTTAAAGCCCGATATAAATAAAGACGTTTTGTATTGCATCAGTGACAGTTCACCTGTTTTCTGAAGCTGAGCCATGATTGGTTGCTACCTGAGTCTCGAGCAACTGCGCTGTCATTTTCAGTCGACACTAAGTCGCAAAAAGGCTACCTCCTTATATGGACAAAAACGGGTGAATTTTTACTGCTGAACCCCAATTCCACAAATGCAATATTAATTAGAATGCCGTGTTTAGACAAATAGGGCTGCATAGAACTTATTGTCAAGAATTTTGGGGGGTTGACTTCCACTTTAAAGATCTCTGCAGTATAAGGAATGAATTTAGGTTAAAACCTTTAAATCCATGTACAGTATGTACTTCACAATGTTGAACACAATTGTTGGCACAAAATTGTGTTTTATAACCAAGGAAATACGATAATTAGGGTGCTTTACTTTCTTCAGCTACTAAGCCCACTGTCCGCTCACATCCACATCACCTGTTCTTGACTTTGCCATATTACAACCCAAACTGGCCCAAATACATTGAACAACGATGGGCCACGTGTGGTACGTGTTGTCCAGTTGATGCATACATCCATATCGTCAAGAATGACCATTGTCTACTCTGCCACATATCTGCCAAGGTGGACTGTATTTTTTTAATTTTGTATTTATGCTAAATGTAGCATTTAGCACACGGGTCAGTTTAGGTTCGCATCTGTCTTGTGAATGGGTCACCAGTTTTAACCCATGCCCATTTAGCCCA